ATTGTTCATCACTAGGGTGATTGTTAAATAATAAGTTTCCTGCCCTGGCTGGGTGGCTAACTTGGTTGGAGAGTCATCAGTACACCAAAAAAGGTCATGGGTTTGATCCCCAGGCAGGGCACACACCTAGGTTATGGCTTTGACCCCTGATCAGGGCACGAACAGGAGGCAGCCAGTCAACACTTCTCACACAAATATTTCTCTCTCTCTCTCTCTCCCTTCCCTTCTCTCTAAAAATCAATAAACATAGATCCTCAGATGAGGATCTAAAAAAGTAGATAATAAGTTTCCCGAATTCTAGCTAACACTGATTTTGTGTCTTCAATGTGCCAGGCATCGCCCTTGCTTTGCAGATGAGTAAACTGAGGCCGGGCCATGTGAGGTGGGTTGGCCACAGTGTCCTGACACCGGTAGAAGATTAGAAGCAGGGGTCTAACTGCAGGAACTGAATTCTGACCACACGACATCGTCCCTCTCAGTGGGTGTGCATGTGTGTGTGTTTGTGTGTGTGTGTGTGTGTGTGTTTGTGCACGCATGCGTACTCCATGGAACACTGCGCATCTTTTAAAAATACTACCCATTGATTTAAAGTAATTGTACACACATTTTAATGACATAAATGTGTTTCTGTTATAATGTTGAGTCAAAATAGGATATGAAACTGTCTCTACAATGAGTATAATCTGCTAAGATATTTAATCTACATGTATAAAGAAGAAAAGGAAACACATTTACGTACTAACAGTGATTGCATTTGGGCAGATGGGTGTTTTCTCTCTTGACAGTCCATGTTCTGTATTTTGTCCACTCTGAACCAAGGGCACCACTGATGGACAACTGGGCTTCATATCTGCACACCCGCCAACCACATGACCTGAGCTCACACCTCGACCAGCCAGCCCACCTGTCAATGTCCCAAAGCAGAGAAGCCAGAGGCGTCTGGCATGGGCTCTGCTACATAGGCATGGCCTCTCGTGGCTCATCGTCAAGGTCCCCAGGAAATGGGCAGGCAGTTCTGGGGTAAAGCCACAAGCCGTGAGCAATCCCACAAGTCCTGCTCAAGGCTGATGGAAATGCCCCTGTCGGGCAAGCCACTGCACAGTGTGGGCGGACACAGAGCCGAGACCACAGTCTGCAGCCAGCCCCGGCCTCGCGCTGCCCAGCCCACACAGTGCTTTGGGCTGCGCAGTGCTGTGCTGGTTTGGTTCGGTTTGGCTTTGTTTTTAATTGAATTAACTAATCATTCCCAATTGAAAGGCCCTGCAGAAAGATCTAGCTTCCTGCCCTCTCTTAAAAATCAAGAGGCCCAAGCCATGTGGCAACAGTGAGCAGGCTCACGGCTGTAGCTGCCCCCGCAGACAGGATGTGGGTCCACCACTCCCTGCTGCCTCCCAGCCGCCAATGCTGATGCACGTGCTCGAACTACTGCTTCTCTGACAGCGGAGTGATATGGGAAGTGAAAGATGTTCTGTGTCCACGTCTCAGTGCAAAGAGGAAAACAGGAACGTGCGCTAGGAGGCCTGTGGGTCTCAAAAAGTGAGAGAAGGTTCACTGGCCAGTCACTTCTTTACCTCCCTGGTCTTAACGAGTCTTTGAGTTTTCTCCTCAGGCCTGGACGGTTCCCAAGGAACCAGTACAAGGAAACGGCATCCGTCCTCCTGTTCTGGAGCGAGTCCTGGCAGAAAGTACGGCCCGGTGACATTTCCCCTGACTGCCCCGCCCCACCCCCAGTCGTCACTCTGCTCAGCACCTGCAGTCGCCAAGCCCTTCTCCCAAGCAGCAGGGGTGGGAGGTGAGGAGAGTGGTCCATGCAGAGAGGAGCTGCCCAAAGCCACAGAACTCAGACCCATTCCTGGGAACCCACGAGCTGTGCCATTTACTTGAACAGCGTCATTTTGGAGACGTGCCCCTGGCCCTCGTCCCTCCCTAAAGTTCAAAGCTGGTTTGGCGCGTGACGACTTTGTGCAAAGGCCCGGGGAGGCTCAGCTTCTGCAAAGTCCTGGGCCAGAAGCAGAAACAGCAGCAGTGGCTCTGAGTCAGACTGCCTGGGTCCCCTGCCAGCGCCACCTCCCACCAGGGCAGTGACCTCAGGCAGCTGGAGAGCCTCTCTGGGACTCCATCCTCTTCTGTAACTGTCTAGGGGCTGGGTTGTTGTGAAGACTGAACACATGCCAAGCTCTCAACACAGGATCAGGGCTCAGGAAACGCGGGAACCCCACCCCCCACTGCTCTGACCAGTCTGCCTCAGCCCGGATTGGAGGGTTGTGGGGCACAGCAGAGGTGGACCCTTCAATCGTGGTTTCTACTTTCTCTCCACCCACTCGGCTAAACTGTTTTCCTCTTTGCACCGACAGCTCAGCCCCTGGGGCCAGGCACCAATGACTTAGAACTTTGCAGGGCAGGGCTGAGAAATGTTTGCCCATGGGAACCTCCTTGGCTGCCTGCAACGTCCCTGAGCTCCCAAAGGCCAGTTTCTGGCACACTGGGAGGGCCAAACCCACCCATGTGCATTCTCTGCCGCTGCCTTTAGGCGTTGACTTAGGAGAAGCAGTCTCCTACGGCACCACAATGAACTGGCAACCTGGGGTCAAGGGCAGGGTCCCATCCTCGCAGGAGCAGGGTCAGAAAGCCCCATCCCTCGGGAGATGCGGTCAGCGTCTCCTGCGGTGGAGAGGCATAGGGAGGGCACCAGGCCCCGACGTTCTCACTGTTCCCCGGGTGTCTCCAGGAAGCCAGGCTCCAGAAGAGTCCGAACTTCCTGGATGGGCAGCTCTGGAGAATCCCAGCCCGGCTGGGCCACTCCCAGGCAAGCAGGCATGGGTGACCTTTGGGGCTGCCCTGGCCAGGGGCACAGTCCCAGCCTCCAGCCTCTCCTGCCGCCCCTCCTACCAGCTGCTCTGGGCCCTTCCTGACTCCCAGCCTGGCTGAAAGCCTGACCCACTCCCTCCCTCGAGCCATGTTTGACATGGGCAGAGCACCACAAGAGGGGCAGGGCGGGTTCTTTTGCTCACCACTGTGTCCACATCACCTAGCCCTGTGCCCGGCATACAGCAGGTGCATAATGATTGCATGTTGGGTAAATAAGCAGGCTAACAGTCATACCTACCTCACACAGTCAGGGTGGATAATAAATGAGATGATGTAAATACCACCGCCCTTGACACAGCGTCAGACACACCACGGGCAATTCGGCAGCCGCTGGTGGCAGCTGCTCAGCTCCCTCAAACTCAGGCGCCTGCACACCCAGCTCTGGGGCCTTTCTCAAGTCCTGCTATTTGCTGGCTGCCTGCCATCCTTCCTCCACTCTCCAGAGGCTTCTAGCTCGGCCTCAGGACCACCATAGCTCAGGCCTTGGCTTGCAAAGTCAGCCACCATTCTAGCACCTTCCTCAGGGAAGGTGCAGGAGGTGAGGGCAGGACAGGGGATGGATCCAGACACTGTCAAGAAAGCTCAGCAATTATTACAGGCCCTGCCTGGAAGAGATGATCAGAGACACCCTCTTTTGACCTGCCACCAGAACAGGGCAAACCTCTACTTAGTAAAGGTCTGCTCTTCTTGTCACCCTGCAGTGACCTCACTGCACCTCACCTCGTCCCTGGCTCCAAATGCGTCCCATCTATCCATGCTTCCTTTCTGTACCTGAACTGCCCCGAGTGTGGGGCCTCTGCCTCTCGTGTGTGCGGGGCTCACGTACGTGTGTGTGTATTAAATTTGGTTATTTTCTCTTGCTAGAAGGAGAAGAAGAAGAACGCTCACCAACTAATCTCCCTCCAAATGTCCCTGGCTTTCTGAAGGAAAGCATTACTGGAGAAACATCTCCCCTGGGGTCCAGGCTGGCTGCCCCACCCCATATACCTCCCCCTATTTCCTCCACTACCCTCCTCGGGGCAGCCAGACCCCTGGCCCTGCACGTGCCCCAGTAGGCAGCACCAGCATCATGCTCAGAGGGTGCACAGGCCCATCCTGGACTGAACCATGGCATCTGGGCTTCGGCAGGAGAAGTGCTGGGCCAGGGTGGCCCCGAGCAAACTCTTGGAGCTCCGTCTGTGGGCACGGGGGTCACACGCAGAAGATTGGCTGTGGGGGAGGGGTCTTAGCCACGTGAGCCGTCAGCCCGGATCATTTACCTGAGGTGACAGGGAGGACCATGGATCCGGACCTTCCATTATACAGGAAAGGAAACTGCGGCCTGGGAGGGGCAATATCTTCCCCAAGGAGAGAGTAAAATTATAGCCAAAAGCCAAACTCCAGGGCATTGAAATCTGTCTCCTGGGATCCCCAGCTTGTCCTCTCCAAGCCGGCACCTTCTACTCTGCACAGGGAGCGCCTTCCGGTTCCTCCCGCCTCATCGGAGCCGCTCCAGGAGAAGATGCAGCAGCCTCTTCCCAGCAAAGAGGAAGTGACGGGGCAGCCGTGGTGCAGGAGTGGCCGCATAGCACCCCGAGGACCAGAAACGAAGCTTTAGTCAGAGCGGCGAGGGCGAGGAGAGGAGCGTCCCCTCCACACCCAGGAGCCCACGCAGGTGTGGGGCCTCCCCAGCCTCACTCCCTGGTACCTGGGGCAGGTGCGGCTTTGAGACCTGTGTCCCCATGCCTGGCTTAATGTTCTACCCTTTAAAAATTCTTAATAATTTTTTAACAAGAGTCCCACATTTTCACTTTTCACTGGGCACTGCAAATTACATAGCTGGCCCTCACTCACCAAGTGTCTGAACCTCTGGGAACCTCAGTTTCGCCTCTGTAAATGGAAAGAGTAACAGCACCTGCCTCACAGGACGGCTATGAAGACGAACGAAAAGAACACAGCAGAGGTCTTAGCAGGTGCCCGGCATGTAGTCAGTACTAACCAATGAGGTTACTACTCTAGATAAAGTAACGATTCCTCTGGGACCCTGCAGAGGCCCCGCTCAATAAGAAGGATGTTAACAACCACACCCCAGATCTGGCGAATCAGGGGAGGGTCACAGGCGCCCGGACACCAGGCCCCTCCCGGCCTCTTACTTTCCCGAAACGGCTGTGTTTGCATCTGCAAGCGGATCTTGATGAGGTCCACGGGCGTGCCCAGTCCGACGGACACCACGCCGGCCGCCACGCTGGCCAGGAGCAGGCTCGACAGGGTGTGGGGCTGGCCAGCCTCGGGCTCCCTGCTCTGGTGCTGGCTGAGGAACCTCTGCGTGTTGCTGAAGACCCCAAACACCACCGAGTTGTAGACGGCGATGCTGGCCAGGGGGAAGGACATGCCCTTGAAGAAGCCGAACACCTGCGGGGAAACCCCAGGGAGGGGAGCGTGAGAACTGCAGGCTGGTGCCAAGCCCCCCTCGCGGGCCCCGGGCACAGACCCTGCCCCCCGAGGGCTGGGCCCCGTGGGCTGGGGGAGACAGCACAAAAATAAACCGAGGTGCCAGAAAGAGGACGAAACGGGGTGCTGCTGTGGAAGGAGAGACGGGGCCGGTGGGGGCATGCCTGCCCTGAGGAGGAACTGGCTTCTGCGGGGAGTCTTGCGGGAGCCACCATGGTGTCCCGGGCCTGGAGCGCGTATTTGTGACGGGAGTGGCAGGGCCCCTGGGCTGCGGCCGAGGGGTGCCTGTGCAGCTCTCGTGGGCGGCAAGCTTGCCAAGCAGCACACACACCCTCTTCGCTGGCCACTCCAACAAACGCATTCTCCAGGCACTTGCCATGTGCCAGGCCCTGGGGGACAACAGGAGGAAAAGCCTCCACCAAGTTCACAGTCTGGCCGGGGAGGGGAGGGTGAACCTGGATGGACAAATTAAAGTACAATGTGCTCAGAGCCCTGCTGGGGGAGCTCAGTTGGTTAGAGCATAGTCCCAATAAACCAAGGTTGTGGGTTCAATCCCTGGTCAGGGGACATAAAATGAATGCATAAACAAGTAGAACAACAAATCAATGTTTCTCTCTGTGTGTCTCTCAAAAGAAATCAATAACGAATTTTAAATATATATAATGCGCTAAGCTTGTGGCGAAGGGCTAAGAAGAGGGTCCCACAGTCCTCCCCAGGGGTGCCCCCGAGCATGAGTGTCTCTTGAAGGAACAACTCAAGGGAGGAGACCCTGGACACACAGCACCTAGAGGCTTCTATGCACATACAGGACACAGGAGGCCGGGGAGAGGGTGCTGAGGCTGAGGTCAGGGTCCCATCCACTCTGCATTCCCACTGGACACCACACAGGCTGTGCAGACACCGGAAAATTCCACTGGCCCGTGGAGGAGTCAGGGCAGTGCGCACGAGCCCCTTGCCAAAGGTGAAAAGGCGCCAGGAGCTGCCGCACAAACCCCAGGCTAGACGCAAACCGGCCAACCCTGACCTGCTAGAGACCGGGCAGCTCACGTGGGCTGGTTGCCACACACACGTGCAGCAGACACACACACACACACACACACACACACACACAGAGCCCGCTCTAGCCCCTTCCTCGGGTAACCTGGGACGTCGCAGAGCCCTGAGCTGCTGGGTCTCAGACGAACGCCCTCGGTCGCCACCGCAGCCCTGGAGCTGGGACACTGGCTGGCAGACTGTGGGGGACAGGTGCCAACAAGGGAGAATCAACAGCCGCCTTTCAGGGCACGGAGCAAGTGCACGTGAGCCCGGAACAGAGAGTGCAGGTGGGCAGACTCGCCCCGAGTTTAAAGCAGCCGATACCAGTTAGCACGGCACCCGACACCAGCCAGGCTGGGTCTGCGGGGAAACTGCAGGTGCGGGCAGGAGGCTCCCGAGACCCAGGTCCACAATGGGGCCACGTTCCCGGGACTCAAGCAAAAGCTGGGGACTGTCGTGGGGCTGGTGCCTGACCATCGTTTTAAATCAACAGGTCTCATCATCCTAAATTTTAAAGTTTGTTTTAACTTCCCCAAAAAGGGGCCTTGGCAGGTCTCCCTAAAGGACACAGCAACTTTCGAGAAAGGCCCCTGATTCATCTTCTATAAAATATTACTCACGTTTCCCCTTTGCAAAGAAGAGCCTTGGGTCCCACCGTCCTCAGCGCCCGGGGCACCAGCCGGCTGTGGGCTGGGACACCACAGTGCCCGGCCCCTGCTGCACCGGGACGAAGGGGCGCCTGTGGGCACACGGTCCTGCCCACTCACTTGGTTTTGAAAAACTTGACAAGTTACCCTGTTTTTTGCAGTAATTTTCCACTGTGGCTCTAAATTCCTCAGAATTTCTGCAGAGAGTTTATACAAAACCGGTTTCTTTCTCCAACAACATCGCACTAGGGGCAGGGTTGGCTTAGGTAATGCATGCTGTCTGGGGCATGCTGCGAGGCGAGCGGGGAAACTGAGCCAAGCATGATGGTGGGGACAAACCGGCCTCCCACCCGACATTCCCTCGGGGGGCCAGGGCTGTGGTCCCCGGCCAGGTGGGCTTTGCCCAATTTTGTGGGAGGCCCGGGTGGGTAGAGCTCCAGCCACCCGCCCAAGGGGCACTTACGCTCTCCTTCCCGTACACCGTGCGGATACAGCTGAGGGTGTTCCCGTAGCCGACGCCAGCCTGCAGGCGAGTCTGCGGAGACAGGCAAGAGCATGAGGCCCAGAGGTCATTCACATGCCCACTGCCCCCAAGATGTGGAGCATCCAGCACTGAGGCACAGACAGGGGAGGCCCTGCCTGAAGGGACACGGGCAGGAGGGAGGCCTGGGCTTCAGTCCTGCACAGGCTGGCCCTCTGCCCCCTACCTGCACTGCGTCCCTCAGCCTCCCATCCAGACCTTCCTAAATGCAGTAGGAGCCCTCTTGGTCCCAGAGAAGAACAAAGGTCAGTTTGTTGAGCAAAAACGATGCCTGTCTGGGACCGCCTGATCTCCGCCTCTTGCGTACAAAAAGCTAGCTGGTGGCGTGGCTCTGTCCTATCTTGCCTGCCGCTCTGCCCTCCTAAACACTCCCCAGGGTGACCTGCTCCTCTCACCTGGAGATCCCCTTCACCGCTCACCTGGGTGGGGGCCTGGCCTCCTCGATGGCCTCCTGCTTCCGCCCCACTCCCTGACCCAGGCTGACTTTTGACGGTCTGATGAATTGGGTCACCGCTGTGCAAAGAGCTCCTATCGACTCAGAATGCACTGCACACCCTCCACCAGCTCCCAGGAGGCCCTGAGCCAGCATCCACACCTGCCTCTCAGCCCCCCTCCGACCATTTCCTTCGCCCCCCTGCCCCCACGACCCGCAACCCCCCCCCCACCCCCCCGCACACATAGCACATTCTCTGGAGCATCCGTTCTTCCCCACCTCCAGAACTTTCCACCTCTCCTCTTCCCCCCGGAGGCTCTTCCTCCAGGACCTGCTCACCTTTTTGGTCTGTGCTTAAATGTTGCAATGGTGTCATGTTTGCCTGTTTGCTTAGGGTTTCCTTGGGTACCCCTCCAAGGGAAGCAGGGCCATTTCCTACTTCCCTCTTGTCCCTGGAGCCACGTGGGACACTCACCTGGCCCCTTTGTACTGTGGGGATGGTGAAAGTGTGGTGTCCTCCATGGAGGCTGGCTGTGGTGGCCAGGGGCACCACGAGGGCACAGAGGGTCTGAGTGAGCCCACAAAAGTGCCCGGGTGCCCTTTACCCTGGCCTTGGAGGGTTCCACTTCCCTGAAGATGTGTGGCCTATAATTCTCCCTCAAAACACTTCCTTAGCACCCAAGCATGCTGTGCCCGGGAGGAAGGAACCATGAGAACCACAGAGGAAGAGATCCGGACCCTACCCCCAGCCCCAAACCCAGAGTCCCAGGAGGAGCTAAGGCCTGGGTGCTGCTAATGCTCCACACTGACAGCCGGAGCCCAGTCCGCAGGCAGGTGCAGGAGGCCCTGGGAGGACAGAGCCCTGAAAGGGAAGGTCTCTCAGGTGAAGATCGCGGGTCCTGTTTTGCTGCATCGAACTTTGCTTCGTTTCCCAACTTTCCTACGATGAGCAGGGGTTACTTTGGTTATTTCTAGCTTATGTAATTACAAAATAATTTTAAGTACAAAACTTACATGGGACCACATTCTCTTAGTAAAAAAAAATTTCAACGCTACATGCAAAGCTGAAGTCTGCTCAGGCCCACCCTCTGACTCAGCCCGCCCCTCCCCGGAGTGGGCAGGCTGGGCCGACGGCCAGGCTGAGTTACTCGGGCCTCCGTCCGAACAGTTCTCCGCGGACAGGCGGCTGGAGGAAACGGGCAGCACTCCTGTCGGCGTGATCCGTCGACGGTGTCATGCTCTTCATAATTGTTACTCTCATAATCAGAGAAATGTACTTATTGACTCACTCCACCAATATTTGCCGAGTGCCTATTTTATAGCCGGCACCGGCCCGATCTTGGGGAATGGAACAGAGGGAAAACACAGATGCCCCACCCTCGTGGGACTTAGACTGAGTGGGGCTGGAAAGAACAGTCAATAAAAAGCAATCCCCAAGTAAACACGTGTGTCCGAGGACGAGGGCCGTGCGGGAAGCAGACGGGGGTCGGTCGGAGGGCTGGCTGGAGGGGATGAGGCGCTGGGAGGTGCTGCCAGGTGAGAACTGGGCCTTCATGTCCTCTGGGCAAGCAGAGGTCCCCCTGGGCTGCGGTGTCCCCAGCCAGGGCAGGTGGGGGAGCAGGCCGCTCTCTGCCCCATTTCGGGCTGGCCTGCGGCTGACCGCTCTTCCCACTGGCCCCAGCACGCAGGGCTGGCCCTGGGGGGTGAGTCCACAAAGTGGTTGACCCGCAGGAGGGTCACGTCCTCACTAAGAAGGTTGAGTGGTCAAGTCACTTAAGCAAAGAGCCAAACCCAGACCATGGCCACAGAGCAAAGGTTCGCCAGCTGTGCAGAGCACGTGGGGGCTGCCGTCCACCGAGGCCAGCAGCACCGCTCAGGCCTCTGGGATTTCCAATTACATCCGGAGCTGGCATTTAATGTACACCAACTGCATGCGTGGGGAGTCCCTAGGCATCTCACAGCACGTATCTCCCCAACTCCCAGAAACGCTCTGTGGCACGGACACATCCCCGCTTTACAGATGAAGGAAGCTGCCTCCCTGGCTTAGCTGTCTGATGCAACTTATTGTTGTCTAATTGCCTGTAATAAATGACTTAGTGGCTTAAAACAATGTGCATGTCTTCTCTCCTGCTTGACTAGCCGGTTGAAAGGCAGCCAGGCCCTTACTGGAAACTCTGGTCCCAGTGCCTCAGGCCAGGCAGGAGCCCTGAAGCCAGCCAGCCCCACGGTCACCACGCTGCCAGGGGCTGCTCTCCCAACTGTGACGGGGCAGCTGCTGGCAGGGGAAGGAAACTTTGACCCAACTCAGCAGCTCAAGCAGGTCCTTCTAATTTGGCTGCTCCACGGGCCGGTCCCAGGGTCTCAGACACGCCCCAGCGTACGTGTGCATCAAGGCGAGAGCGGCACGCTCAGTGCCCTGTGCTCAGAGTCACAGCGAGCATCCTCACGGCAGCCCCGCCGGGGAGGGGCTCTGCCCGTTTCACGGACCCGCAGGCCCAGGGAGGTTGAGTGCTCTGTCCCGGCCACAGGAGAGAGCAGGTGGGCTCCAGGTTACCTGAAGCTCTTGCCCGGACCTTTCTCAGTTGACAGGGGCACTGGAGAAAACATCAGCCAGAATGAAGGAAGGAGGAGGACGTTCTTGGGAGACACAGGGCCGGGGCCACACCCGGGCTGGCCCCAGAGGGGCGTCTGTGTAGGCTAGCATCTCAGGCTGTGCCCCCAGCGGGAAGGCTCTCAGGCTGAGCAGAGGCTGGATTTTATGTGTCACCAAGGGTTCCCTCCAGAGGCTCAGGGACCAAGGGGAGAGAAGGAGGAGAGTGTTTTCGGGTGACATGTGACCAGGCCCAGGGTGACCAGGCTTGCCTGTGCGAGGAGGTGGCAGCAGCTCACCTGCATTAGGAGCGTGGCTGTAAGGCGCGCAGGGCAGGGGTGGCACCTGCTTGGTCCACCACCAATGCCTCGCTGTCCCTGCCGCGCCCTCACAAAGGGTCCAATAAGCGGTTGATGTGTGAGCGAAAGGCAGGGCCTGTATGAGAGAAATGAGGAGCCAGGAAATATCTCTAAGTATTTAAGGCAAGTAGGCTGACCTCCCCATCACACAGAGAGCAGGACTGGCTCTGACCCAGGCGGGGCCACTGCCATGCAACGGGCAGGAAGGGGAGAGAGGAGACGGCAGCAGCCGTGAGAGAAGGGCCTGCGTGTGTGAGGCTGCTCTGTGTGCCGGCCAGGCAGAGCCTTAGACGTGGACCTGGGTGTCACTACCAGAGGCTGCACTCTCAGGGCACGGCTCTGCATCCTGCTCGCTGAGGGGACAGGTGGAGTGAAGCCAAAGAATGCCCCTTTGTAGTGCCTCACTCCTTGATGCTTTCACTTGTCGTGTGACCTGAGCAAGCCCCTTCCCCGTTCTGAGCCAGCTTCTCCATCTGCAGACCAAGGGGCGTAGTGACCCCATGCCAGGTGGCCCTGCTGGCTTCAGAGTCCTCACACCTGGGAGCTTCCTTGTCTTGCAGAGGCTCCCCATTCCCGACCGGGGTCCAGGGTTCTGACCTGACACCAAGACCTCTGAGCACTGGGTGCTGACATCCCTTTCCTGGACTCGGACCCATGGCTGCTGCCAGAAACCTGGTGCGCCAGCACACTGCCCACGCAGGCCTCCCCACGGAGGCCCCACAGAGTGGCCCCATCTCTGCGCCTTTGCCCAAGCTGTTCTCTGTGCCTGAAATGTCTTTTCTAATCACCTGGAACCCAGCCTTCGACTTTGGGCTCATTGGAAGCCTTTCCTGGCTCCTTAGCTCCACAGGGGCCTGCAGGACACTCACTAGTGCCCCCCCTCCGCCCCCATCCCCCACCCCCAGTTCATGAGAACCTGGGGGCAGAGAGAGACATCCGCCAAAACAGAATCACTGCCAAGTAAGGGGGGCAGAGCCATTGCAAACCAGGCCCCGGCACCACACGCCCATGGGCTGGCGCAGAGGACCCGCCCTGGGCTGGGGACTGTCTGGGGCGTGGACACAGCAGGCCCGGTCCTGCAGGCGGACTCATGCCAGGTCCCACGGCAAGGGGAAATAACAAACATGGCTACCATACCTTGACCGTGTCCAGAGGATGGCCGACAATGACACTGGCTGCGCCTGTGGGTTGAAAAAGAGTACCTGGTCACTCGGCCCCTGGACGCCTCGCTCGCACTCACGGGCTCCCGGGCACAGGACAGAGGGCTCAGGCTCTTGCGTGAGCCCATTTGGTCAAAGCCCAGGCACTGGAGAGGACCCGCCGCCTGCCTGGCACTGGCCCCAGCAAGGGGGATGGCAGAGACAATGGAGTAAACCCTGGCTCTGCGTCAAGAAACAAGCACCTCCTCCCAAAAAAGGGCGGTGAAGGTGCTGGGACAGCTGGGTATTTACCTGCAAAGGAGTGACGTTAGACCCCCCACCCCACCCCCCTGCTTACCTCATACCTCATAGAACAATTAGTTCCAAGCAGAACTAATTGGAAACGCTGAAACTATAAATGGAAGACCTAAGTGGAAACACTGAAACTATGAAAATCAATAGTAAATAAAACACAGGGGAAAGTGTTTGTGACCTAAGGTTTTCTATCGATTCTTAGATATGAGACCAAAACACAAGTAACAAATGAAAAAATAGACAAATTGAACATCACAAAAATGTTAAACTGTTGTGCAACAAAGGATACTATCAAGAGCGTGAAGCCAACCTACAGAATGGGGGGGAAATACTGGCAAATCCTAGTATTTGATAAAAACCTAGTATCCAGAACATATAAACTCTTATACCTAAAAAACCTTTTTTAAATATGGGCAAAGGACTTGAATAGACATTTCTCCAAAGAAGATATGCAAGGGGCCAACAAGTACAGGAAAAGATGCTCCACATTGTTAGTCATCAGGGAAATGCCAATCAAAACGCAGGGAGACTCCCCGTCACGCCCCAGGACAGCTGTGACGTAAACCAGAAGAAGAGGCAAGTGAGTGCTGGCGAGGACGTGGAGAAGCTGAAGCCCTCAGACCCCGCTGGTGGAGGTATGACACAGCCCAGCCACTGCGGAACACAGCGCGGCAGCTCCTCAGAAGGGCAAGCCTTGAATGACCATAAGACCCAGGAATTCCACTCCTGGGTAAATATTCAAAAGAAGGGGAAAGAGGCACTCAAACTAGTACACGTACATGCGTGTGCACAGCAGCACTGGCCTCGATGGCCAGGCAGAGGGGCAGCCCAACTGCCTGTCCCTGGACCAAGGGGCAAACAAAGCTGGGGCTCCCCACGCAGCGGAGTATTATCAGACACGCCCGGGAGTGACGGGCTGACCGGGCCGCCGCGTGGATGAGTGCTGGAAACACTGTGAAAATGAGGGAGGCCAGACCCAAAGGGTCTCGTACTGTGTGACTCCATTTACACAACTTATCCAGAATGGGAAACCCTCGGGGACAGGAGGCGGGCAAGCGATCGCCAGGGCTTGGAGAGGGGCCGTGGCGCGCCTGCGTGGGGCCAGGGACTTCACCCTCGAGCGCGGCAAGAGGGAAACGCTTTGGAGCTGACCTGAGGCAAGGGTTGCACAACGCTGGCGGCGTGCCAAAACGTCACTGACTTGCACTTCACAATGGTTAATCCTGTGTTATGTAAATTTCGTCTCAAAAAGGGGAGGGTGTGAAGAGAAGACCCAGAAACTTTTCAGTTGCCTGCAGGTTACTTCACTTTCCTGCACCCCACGGTAGCACGCGTAGGTGAGGACAGTATGAGCACCCACCTGAGGGTAAGAGTAGAGTGAGGAACTGAACGCAAAGAACCATGAGGGAGTCTGGCCCTTCCAGGACACTCAAAAAGAGATGCTGTTGCTATTGATTTTATTTACTTATTTACTTTTAGAGAGAGGGGAAGGGAGGGAGAAAGAGAGGGAGAGAAATATCGGTATGTGAGAGATACGTGGATTGACTGCCTCTCTCGAACGCTCCCAACTGGGGACCTGGCCCGCAACCGAGGCATGTGCCCTGACTGGGAATCGAACCAGAGACCTTTGGGTTCTCAGGCCAGCACTCAATCCACTGAACCACACGAACCAGGGCCGATAATTTATTTATTTATTTATTTATTTATTTATTTATTTTAAAGAAGGCCTCTTTGAAAAGGTGATGGATACTCTGGGTCTTTCCACAGAAGAATGCCCATCCACACACGTTCACGAGACCTGAGCCATTCTGGAGTTGAGGAGGCCGCCTGGGGGCCACCAGGGGAAGCAGCCCTGGCCGCAGAAGTCAGCGACTTCGAGGTTGAAGCAGGGGCCAGCGTCCTTCTAAGACAAACTCCCCACCACGGTGATGAGGAGCGAAGTGTCTCTGCTCACCAGGTAAGGCAGGGAAGGGGTCCTGAAATCTTAGATATTTGCAGGGGAAGAGAAAACAGCTAATCCCAGAGCAAATGCTTCCTGGGTCGGAACCTCCAGACCCCGCTCAGCCTCTCCCTCCCACAGAACTGGGCGGAGGCAGAAGGTGGTGGGCAGCGGGGAGCTGGCGAATGCACTCCACGTGAACCCCTCCCGTCAGGGGAACAAAGGAGTCTGGGCAGGCTCCAGCTGCTCCCCCCACCCCAGTGAGTGCATCCCTCACTATGGGAACCCCTCAGCCCAGGGAAGCCCCCTGGGTCCAGCCTTGGGCCAGCATCTCCCTGCGTCTTTAACTCACCCATCAGAAAGCAGGGATGTAATGTGAGAAGTCAGACCATCACGTCACTGGTGTCCAGGCCTTGGGACTTCACAGGCCAGCAAAATTTCAAACAAAACACGAAGGATATTGTGGCAAAATTTTATCACACAAGGTCATTAAGAGAGGAAACAGCTAGCCCTGACTGATGTAACTCAGTTGGTTAGGCATCACCCTGCAAAGCGAAAGGTCACTGGTTCAATTCCCAGTCAGGGCACATGCCTGGGCTGCAGGTTCAGTCCCCAGTCAAAGTGCTTACAAGAGGCAACTGGTTGATGTTTCTCTCCCTCTCTTTCTCCCTCCCTTCTCCTCTCTCTAAAAATAAGTAAATAAAATCTTTTTTTTTAAAAGTGGAAAGAAAGAAAACAGCATAGCCGAGAACAGGGGTCGGAGTGCCCCCGGAGCCAGGCTGCCCGGGCTGGGCGACCTGGGCTCATGCTGCACGCGGGGCCTCGGGCTGGCCACCGAGTCTCCCTGCGCGCCCACTTCCTCACCTGTGAAGTGGGGATGTGGTCATAGTAGCCACCTCGCTGGAACTGTAAAGAAATAAATCCACAGACACAAGAGACCCCATGTGTGTGGTTCCATGTACATAAACTGTCCAGCAGAGGCTCACTGCAGAACGCAGCGTGGGGAGAGGTGGTTCCCGGGGTGGGGGCGGGGGCGGGGAGCAGGAGGACGGGGTCTAACTGTCAGTGGGCACGAGGGTCTCCCTGCGGGATGACGACAGTCCACAGCTAGTGCAGGGCCGGGACTGGTAAGAGCAGATGCTACACTTGGTTTCAGTCAGAAGGCTGAGAAGAGAAAGTTTAGGGTAATGGTTTCACAACTTGGTAAAGTTACTAAAAATATCATGGAATCCTACACTGGAAATGGGTGAATCTTACAATATGTAAAATAACGTTAATAGAGTTGTTTTTAAAATACGCGTAAAGCACTTCAACAGCACCTGGTACCCACTATGCACTCACCGTTGCTACACTCTCCACCGTCTCATGGAAGCAAAAAAGACATGTTCACGTCCCCAGAGCACAGACAGTTCTAGAATAAAGGGCAGCCCACCACAGGGGAGGGTCTCCATGCCAGAGGAGACTGGGGCGTCTCCTAAACCCAGCCCCCCACAGCCGTGCTGAAGTCGCCTGGCTACTTAAGGAAGCAGCCGGGAGAATGCTTTCCCTTGGAATGGCTGAAGGGGTGTCCAGAGAGGGTCTGGGTGTGCACGGTGGGCCTCCAGGTGCAGCCCCCTGAGTGGGAAAATTAGGAGGGAGGGTCTCAGCCCAGCCCAAAAGAGCCCATGTCGACAGACTTGCCCACCATGAAAGGAACGGCCTCTGCTCAGGAAGGGGGCGGGGCCTGGGGGTGGAGCAGGCGCCCTGCAGCCGTGTGCAGGGATGGGGCACACTGCTGCCAGTGGGAGGGGGTGCCGGAGGGGAAGGACCTGGATGCTACCTGACCTGTTTCTCTTCCGCCCCCAAATAGCCTCCGCCTCAGCACCTCGGTACTATTTTATCTGTTCTTCAGGGAGGAGCTGCACTTGCCAACATCCCTTTGCTAATGGCCCTCTTAGATGGGGCCAAAAGAGAGACAATATTTTACAGTAAGGAAAGTCCCTCCAACCCTCCCCCATTCCCCACCTGCTTCTGAGAAGAGGAGGCGTAGACCTATCGGAAAGAAAAGAATGGAGAAGGAAATGGATGAAACCCCTGACCCAGCAAACCCATCTCAGACCCAGCAGAGACGGAGGCAGGCTGCTGGGGCGGTACGAGGGACCACAGTGCGGGAAGCAGGGTCCTGGGCAGCTGACAGCGGCTGAGGACGGGAGGGGTGCCTACCACCTGCTCCCTCCAGCCTGGGCGCCCTCTAAGACCAGTCTGATCACGAAATCGGGCTCCCCATCCCGTTCCTGGGGCCAGCGACCAAGCCACCCTCACCTACAAGTTCCTGCGAGCCACGAGCCACGTCCCCAAATTAAAGTGCGCACCCGGTAACCGAAGGGTGTGTACGCGCCCGGACGCTCCGTTGGCTGCAGGCTTGGACCAGCGGCTTAATCATTACCCGACCGAGCTCGGCGTATCCTAACTTGGAGGTAAATCCGGAGCTCAGGTGAACCTCTGCGAGGCTCACGGAGTTTTTGTGGGTGGCCGACGGGGACCCGCAAGACCCCAGGCGCCGGGCCACGGGCTCTCCCCGCAGCGGGAGGCGCGCGCGGCGCAGGCAGAAAGCGCCGGCACGGAGTGCCTTGTCCCGAGCTGGGGGTGTAAACTTGGCCCACGAGGCGCCTGGCCCGCCTCTCTGTCTCTCCGACCCCGACCCCGCGGTCTCCCTGAAGCACACCCACTTCGGGGGATCCTGCTCATCCAGGGTGAGCTCACCTCCGATCCAGCCAGCCGCGAAGTCTTCCAGCTGGAAGCTGCCCATGGCCCGGGCTGCGGCGCCGCGCCCGCCCAGGTCCGGGTCCGTGCCCATTTAGCCTGTGCGGGGCGTGGCCCACGGAAGGGGCACGCGAGGGCGGCCAGCCAGATCCTCGGAGCGCACGCAAGTCCGACGCCCAACCCGGTCTCCCGTCCCCCGCGGAGCTGATAGCACGCCCCCAGCGGACCTTAAAGGCGCAGCAGGCGGGCGGGGCGACGGCGTACCCCGGGCTGGAAGATGCCACGGCCACCGGGGAGATTCCCTGAGCCTGGCCTCGTCGCCCTCTCCCTTGCCGACTGTGGAACCCGATGCCTTGAGGCGACAGCGCCTGCTGGGGCCTGTCATTGTTCACATCGCGACCGACACGAAATGATTTCAGGGACATTTTTGCAAAGGGCATTACAAAAGGGAGGGAGGGATGCTCTATCAAAGGTCAGGAAGTAGATGATTTACCTGTGAAGACGCATTCTCTTTTAAGCTAAAACAGCAGCGCTGAAATAATTCTAACTAAGTGTCCAACTAAACCAGGAGTGCTTGCTTCTCTGAGGTGCTGGTTGAAGCCACGGGCAGTTTCGCTATAAAATAGACAGGAAACACAGTTTTCCAGGCCACTTGAGAGGTGAGGGACTCTGCCCCTGCCTGCTCCCCAGTTCCCAGGTCTTAGAAGCCTATTTGTTCATGAAAAACTGAAATAATATGCGGAAAGCATCCAGTCCAGGGGTAGTCTCCAAGTCAGCTCCAAAAAAGCATTGGCTATTAACAATGTCCAACAGCTCCTGAGCATTTAAATCACGCCCCACTCACTGTGCCTGGGCTCGTCCTCGCCCAACCTGGGGGGTGGGTGCTATCGTGACCTCTATTCCTGGGTGAGGAAGATGCCGGTATGTTCAGTGTATTTAATGTGTGTGTGACTCAGATTTGAGTCCTTTAGAAAATGCCAACATTAGGAGGTGAAAGTTGCCCACCTGAGTTGTAGGCTTACCTGTGTAAGAACAGCTTTCAGCTTCTTCCCAAACACCTGGCTGTCTCAGTAGAGAGTCCAGGGGAAACCACCCCTCAGAGCCGAAGGACCTGTGGCAGCCCCTGCCGAGGGCACACCCACCAGGTGGGAATTTCTGGAGCCTGAAAGCTCTCTGCCTGCCCCTTGCAACCAAAAGCAGGTCCGGCTGCCTGCCGCTAGAACAGCTAACGCTCAAGAGGCAGGTGCTGATGTAAAGGAAAGTGGTTTATGTTCAGGTGCGGGCACCTGGGAAGATGGGGACTTGTCTCAACACCCAATGTCCTGGGAAGATGGGGGACCCACATCTCTTAGCCCATCTCCACATCTCCTTGGAGGCAGAGGTTTCTATAAGGAGGGAGCTCGGAACAGAACAAGGAGATCGGGGGAGGGGGCTACAAAGTTCTCCACGTGCAGACGAGCGGAGTCCACTCCGGTAAGACGAGTGACGGTTCCGGTGTGCAGCATCCTGGCTTCACATCATCCTCACCTCACATCATCCGGACCCTCGGCTGAAGGTCAGCAAACCTCCTGGGGCTGGGAATGCCTGGAGGTCAGAGTCAGAGTCCTTTGAAGCTGCTTCCTAGAATTCTTACACAAACATGCTGTTCATCTACCAGTCACATATCAGAGTGTGCACTTACAGAAACAATGTAAGAAGAATAGTGAGGTGAGTTAGAAATCCTTGCTGTTACAATTTTCCACTGTTGCATCCTGGCCAGGCCTTCAGGAGGGATGAGGCGAGGCTGAACATTTCCTTTGGTAGCCCCCTGGGCATGAAGGCTGGGGGGCCACATAGCACACTATGCCTCTGGAAGTGCCTGCCTTGCAGGTCCCAGTATCCACAGATGCCCTCCCCGAGACCCCAGGGCTCTCTGGGGCAGCCCCTACACCCTGCAGACAAGCAGGCCCCAAATCTGCTCTGCCACCTTTTCTGAAACTCCTCTTACCACCCTCAAACATCCCCCTCTCCACCTGCACGATCCAGACAAGCAAAGGAACTCTGGAGCTGTCTCACCCCGACCATGTTTTCAAGCCAAAATCTGAGCTGAGGGCTTTACACACTGTCCCTCTCCCCCCTCACACGGTTCCCCCCTCCCAGGGTCCCTCCTCACCCCCTCCCAGGGTCCCCCTCCCCACTCCAAGGGTCCCACCCCCCCTCCCAGGGTCCCACTCCCTCCTCACAGGGTCCCACTTCCCCTCACACTGTCCCACAGCGGCTGTGAGCAATCACCAGGGTCACCCCACTGATGGTCAGTTTCCTGAGTCGACTTGGCTGGGTGACAGTCCCTGGTGACTCGGTCAAACACAAATCTAGGTGTTGCTGTGAAGGTGTTTGTAGATGAGATTTCCAGCTACAACCAGCTGACCCTACGGGAGCTTCTCCCTGATACTCTGGGAGGGCTTCATCCAATCTACTGAAAGGCTTTAAGGGCAACGTGGAGATTTGCCTGAGAAAGAAGAAACTCCCCTGTACACTGTAGTGACCTGTGCACTGTAGTGACCTGCCCGGCCAGTCCCCACCACACACACACACACACACACACACACACACACACCTGCAACACCTGGGCAGTAGTGCAGTAAAGGGGGGTGTGCCTCTGTCTCCCCAGGTCCGGCTTCTCTGGCAGAACCCTGACTGTGTTCGCCGGTGAAACAGCGATGAGGAGCCCAAGGCCCAGTGAAGTCAAATGAGATCCGATCCGTCGGAAGAATCAGCTCTGCAGCTGTGAGGTGGGGAGGAGTTCTAGGGACAACCTAGAGCTCGGTCTTGTCACCTCTGACCTCTCCCTGAACACCTCTCCTCCTCCCCCCACTTTCCCGACCAGCTCCCCCTGCTGGAATGGCACCTACTGGGGTGTTCCCATTCCCCTGGGCCTGTGCCGCTGTGCGGATCCCAGTCAGCAGGGGGCGCTCTTCCCCATACCAATCTGGGGTGGTGATGCTTATTGGCACTCCAGCCATGCCCCCCTCAGGGCCTGGGGTCCAGAGCGAGCACCTGGGGGGCCAGGGTCATGTCCAACTTTCAGGTACAGTTCTCCAGCGGCCCAGCTCCGTCCTGGCCCAGCCCAGCCCACATGGTCTGCCCTGGGCCAGCCTGAGAGGGGTGGTCCTGTGCAGGCCCTTGCTGGAGGTCCATGCTCACTGTGGGGATGTGGCCTGGCTGGGGGAAGGTGCTTTGGGCCCGCCTGGGGGCTCCCTGGACTTCCTCTGAGAAGGAAGATGACTTGATGTCCTCCAGTGTCCTGCTGGTCTCATGCAGGGACCTGCCCCGATGCCCAGGATGGTAGAGAATGGTGACAGGCATGGTCTGGAGCCAGGGCCCTCTGCTGGGCCTGCTCTTCTCCCACTGGCACATCCGTGTCATGTCATCCAGGCCATCATGCAGCGGCAGCCAGCCAGGCCTCCTCCATCCACAGTGAGGCAGGGTCTGACCTCTGAGGCCTGATCCTAAAAGGGCTGAGAGGCCTGCTGGCAGGTGAGGGGGTAGGGGTCATCATCATCATCAACCCCCAGGCTCTGCCCTGCCTGCCATGCTGGGGCATGTGCTGGGACAGTTAGGAGAAATGAAAGGTCTCCAAAGAGTGGCCTTTTGTGAGCTCACCATTGGAGCAAGTCCATAGGTAGAAAGCCTGCCAGTTCTCCGTGGCCCACTCTTTTGAAGGACCACCTAATGGGTGCCAGGCGGATTGTCATTCCCTGAGTCCTGTGTCACCATGGGACCAATTGGGAAGGGCCTGAGTTGGCAGTCAGTGGCCCTGGCAACTCCAGGGTGGAGTCCTAGGCCCAGAAAGCTGCTGCTTGTACTACTGATGAGCTGGAACCGAGAAGAGGGCGTGGGCGCCTTTCCAGAATGAACTACTGTGCTCCATTCTTAAACGACTCTGTCCGGGAGGCGCATCACCCGAAGGAGGCTTGCGGCTCCCTCTCTTGCCTTTCTCAAGGCCTGCTTCTATCCCCTTCAGGCCGAGGCTGAAACATCCTCTGCAAAAAGGCTTCTCCAGATCCCCTCGGTCAAGGTCAAGACCTCCTTGCCTCCCTCAAGGCATCCCTGCTTTTCTTCCAGCCCTGCCATGTGGGTCAGCCCTTGTGCGATGCCCAGGAGGCCCGGGAGGGTGGGTAGGTCTGCCTGACTTGCCCACCCCTGCAGCATTCTCAGCCTTGTCCACACAGCAGACAGTGCTGACCACTGGTGATTGAGTGCAAATGGATGGACAGGGTGGGATGCCAGCACGTGCTGTCCTCCTCCTTCGGGCATTTGTACCTGCTGCACCACGGACAACGGGAGCTTCGAGGTCCCTTCCCTGAGTCCCCTGGGAAGGAAAGAGCTGGACTGCCTGGGCTCTTCTTCTGGTGCTGCTGCTGAGTCACTGGGCTCCTTGGGCAGGTCTGTGACTCCCTTTCTCCCTATGTCTTTTGGAGGGTAGATACGGGTCCCCTCTTAGGCAGCGTCAAAGAAATCTCAAGTTCTGGGCCATGGAGACATCTGCTGTGGGTGTTTTGTCAAGATACACCAGCAGAGGGCGCTGCTGCACAGCGAAAGGCCAGAGCTGCTGCCCCAGTGGGAGAGTTTTCTGGCCCAGTTCCCCAGCATTGAGCTGGCAGAGTCAGACCCAGTATATACTTAGGCTATGAAAGCAATGCTGATTTGAGGCTTAGGAATTTGAGGGTGCCAGAGGGTGGACCTCTGAGAGGCTTGATGAGAACCCCTCTGAGGCTTCTTGGGAGCTGGCTGTGTATTTAGAGGGAGAGCACCCCAGTAAGCAGAGGTAACACCCCAACTTTTCACTTGCCCTGATTCATCGAGGCTTCCAATGCACCAGGCTCTTTTCCACCTCAGGGAGCCAAGCTGGCCCAGTGCCATGTGCTCTACCTGCACCACCTCATTCAATTCCAAGAGGCAATTCCCCATGTTGCAGAGGAGAAGAATGAGGCTCAGGGAGGTTAAGCAATTCCTCCAAAGCCACGCAGCCAGCAAAGGGAGTATTACAGATTTCTACCTGCTGCTTGACTCCAGGGCCGAGCTCAGAACCAGGATGCTGCCTCCTGGCCAAGACTCAGGAAATGGAAGGGCCTTTCCCCAAAGCCCTTGTCCCCACCCCCACCCCCCTACCCCCATGTAAATGTCCTAACTTCTTTGCCTCCTCCTCTCCACCACCAGTGAAATTTGCCAACTACACTCATATTCTTTTTATTTTAAT